CTGACTGACTGACTGAGAGACTGACTGACTGACTGAGAGACTGACTGACTGACTGAGAGACTGACTGACTGAGACTGACTGACTGATAGACTGACTGATAGACTGACTGACTGAGAGACTGACTGACTGAGAGACTGACTGACTGAGAGACTGACTGACTGAGAGACTGACTGACTGAGACTGACTGACTGATAGACTGACTGACTGAGAGACTGACTGACACACTGACTGACTGAGACTGACTGACTGACACACTGACTGACTGACTGACACACTGACTGACTGACTGAGACTGACTGACTGACACTGACTGACTGAGAGACTGACTGACTGACACACTGACTGACTGACACACTGACTGACTGACTGAGACTGACTGAGAGACTGACTGACTGACACACTGACTGACTGTGACTGACTGACTGACTGACACACTGACTGACTGTGACTGACTGACTGAGACTGACTGACTGACTGAGACTGACTGACTGTGACTGACTGAGAGACTGACTGACTGACTGAGAGACTGACTGATTGACTGACTGACTGACACACTGACTGACTGACTGTGACTGACTGAGAGACTGACTGACTGATAGACTGACTGACTGAGACTGACTGACACACTGACTGACTGAGACTGACTGACTGACTGAGACTGACTGACACACTGACTGACACACTGACTGACTGAGACTGACAGACTGACTGATATACTGACTGACTGACATACTGACTGACACTGACTGACTGATATACTGACTGACACTGACTGACTGACATACTGACTGACTGACATACTGACTGAAATAGGGGAGTTTTTTTCAGCTGCAGGGTTAAAACGTGGGAACATGGCACCCAGACGACTTCATTGAGATAAAGTGGGTATAGAGTCCCATTAACCCAAAATATAGTGGCTTAGAGCTGGAGGGTCTACCCCCTTTTGCCTGCTGTTTGTATGACGTATGTATTAATTGACCTCTCTCTTTGGTTCTCCTGAGAGGTATGAAGTTCTCCTGCTCTGTGTGACTGCCTCTGCATCCTGAAACTGGATCTGAACTCTCTGACTTGTGGTCGTCATCACGCTCCTTTTTTAAGGTGACTGCACCCATCAAAATCCATATAAACACACTGGGTCTGCTCTTGGTGAGAAATGTGGGAATCAATTCAAGTATAAATAAAGCTGATGGTGAGAAAAAGTTATACCTTGCTAAATAAATGTATAGAGCTAAAGAAATGTTGCTACATGTAATGAGGCTGGAATTTTTACTTAGTGCCAGTAAGGTCCTGGTGGATGGGAGCAGATGGGTGCCTAAGCCAGCAATGTTATCTGTTTGCCCTTGGTCTACACCGCACTTATGCCGGGAGAGAATGCACTTCTCCTCTGCACAAAGATCTGGAAACTCCACGATTCGCTGCATAATCTCACACATAAGGGAACGCATGAGGACAGTAAATATCTCACTGGGATCCCTGTGTATATATAACCCGAGTCCTACGTATGTGCTACATGTAGTGATTGGCATCTGACCTCCCACAAAATGGTGGGGCCTGTATAGACACTTTCTTCATCGTCATGCTTTGTTCTTCAGATATCAGTTTGTGCCGTTGGCTAATAAGGCCACAAACAATTTGTAAACACTGTGGTGGATCACCAGATTATCACCGCCAGATGTTCCCATTCCCTCAGTGGTTATAGCTCTCCAGAGTAGCTTAAAGGACCACTATAGGCACCCAGACCACTTCAGCTTAATGAAGTGGTCTGGGTGCCTGGTCCAGCTAGGGTTAACACATTTTTTTTATAAACATGGCAGTTTCAGAGAAACTTATGTTTATAAATAGGTTAATCCAGCCTCCAGTGGCTGTCTCTTGACAGCCGCTAGAGGCGCTTGCGTGCTTTTCACTGTGAAAATCATTATGAATGCTTTCCTATGAGACTGGCTGAATGCGCGCGCAGCTCTTGCGCATTCAGCCGAAGAGGAGGAGTAGAGCTCCCTGCCCGGCGCTGGAGAAAGGTAAGATTTTAACCCCTTCCTCTCCCCAGAGCCCGGCAGGAGGGGGTCCCTGAGGCTGGGGGCACCCTCAGGGCACTATAGATGGAGTGTTTTCCTGGCACTATAGTGGTCCTTTAAGTGATTATAGCTGTAGACGTATAGCCCCCCTCCCCCTCCAATACATTTGACAACTCTTAATACAGGGAGTGGAACTGATTTATTGAACCACAGCACAAACCTATATAGAAGTAATCACAACAGGGGGTCATCAAACAAAACAAGTCACTCCCCGGAATCTTGGTGTCTAGGACATATTTAGATTAAGACTCCATAATTGAATTACCTGCCTGACACTAATAGCTGCAATAACTTAAAGGAACACTATAGGGTCAGGAACACAAACACCATCTAGTCCCCCTGGCCCTCCCCTTACTCTCCTAAATATAGTAAAATCTTACCTCTATTCCTGTTTGCTGCTGGTTCTACCTCCGATCTGCCTGCTTGGCTGACATCAGCAGAAGTGTTGATATCAGCTAATCACAATGCTTTCCCATAGGATTGGCTGAGCATGCCAAGTAGGCAGATCAGGGGCAGAGCCAGTATAAGCCAAACACAGCCCTGGCCAATCAGCATCTCCTTATAGAGATATATTGAATCACTGCATCTATATGAGGAATGTTGTCAGTCACACTGCGCAGCACTGCCCCAGGAAGCACCTCTAGCAGCCATCTGAGGAGTGGCGAAAGAAGATATCCCTAGTCTATAATGTAAAAATTGCATTTTCTCTGAAAAGACAGTGTTTACTGAAAAAAGCCTAAAAGGAATGATTCTACTCACCATAACAAATGCAATAAGCTGTAGTTGCTCTAGTGACTGTAGTGTCCCTTTAATTACCTTACCTTCAGTTTTACATTTAAACAATAACTCAATAATGACAGAGTAAGATGACTTAAATAATAACTTAATAAAATAAGTTCACAGGCCCACTGTCACAATGATTATTGTCTTTTATGGGTGAGGTGAAGGACTACAATTCCTGGGTGACCGGTTGGTCTGTCACATACACAACTAGAAATCCCTGAATTTGTCTTAAGACTTTCCTTACTTAGACACTTAGAAGTGTCTTCAAAATGTCCCGATAACCTACGCTACCTGGAGAGGTAAGACAGACAGAGGTCTTCTTTCAAGATGTTTTCTGGACATGGCGATTTACCGCCAGCAATGTATCTGTCACAAGCCTGCCTGCAGCATAACAATGAAAAGAGCCGTGGACAAAGGAAACATGTTTTATAAGCAGACAATAGACTTGGAACCTCCGGTTTGCTTTTGTAATAAAGGAACAACTGTTTTTTAATTAGCGTGACATGCCTAAAACTGGGCAGAAACTCACACGTAGTTTTGCTTACTCTTCTTTCCAACCCAGTGTAGAAAATGTTCTGTTTATATTTAAAACGCTTGTAGGAGGGATAGGGTTTTTTCATTGCCCCCATTGCAATGGGAGAAAGTGTGTTTTAATTATCATTGTTATGTAGAACATTTTACATATGTTCTCTGACCCTCTGTCTTCTTTTCCTTCTAGGCAGACGTGATGAGCGATCAGAGGGAGCGGACATTCGTGTGGGTTCATCCGCCCTCTGATGAGGAGACACCTGAAAGACCTTATGCCGGTAAGGGGAAACACAAAATCTTTCTACCCACAGAATGGATGATGAGGGAGAGGGTGTGTGTAGAACCAGGTGTATAGATGAGCCTGAAAGAACTGTGTAAAACCAGAGAGATGGATGGAGGAGAGGGTATGGGTTGAACCAGGTTGATGGATGAGAGTGAAAGGACTGTGGGTAGAATTAGGGAGATGGATGAGGGTGAAAGGCCTGGGTGAAAGGTAGAACCAGGATAATGGAGTGGGTTAAAGAACTGTGGAAAGAACCAGGGAGATGGATGGGGGATAAAAAGACCATGGGTAAAACCAGGGAGATGGATAAGGATTAAAGGTCTGAGGGTAGAACCAGGGGGGTGGGTGGGAGATGCATGATGGATGAGAATTTGGTGGGACATGGATGACCCATGAAGGTGCAGATTGAGGCCTGTATTTACTGATTATTCCAATTCCTAAATGCTCTTCCTGCATATTCTGGCTGCACTCTTTACTCCCTGTGACATCATGCTAATTTTAACCTGTTAAGCCATTTATACGTACACTTCAGGAGTAGAACATATTTTCTTGTTCTTTCTCTTATTGTTTTTAATTGGGACTTTTGGAATATCGATTTTCTTTGGTTTTTTTTCATAGAGGGCTTTGGCCCAATTAATGGCGATGAAGAGAGTGCTGTGTTTATCGAGCAGTGTGGGGTGCTCTTGGACTGTCATGATGATGTTTCAGAGTCAGCTCCTGGTGAAGAGAGCGAGGAGAGCTTATTTGACTCCGATAAGAAAGACCTACTCTCTAGTAGTCCGTCTGTGAAGCCAGGCACCAGTGGCAAGAGCGCCAGCAAGCTATCCAATATCATCGCCCATCTTCAGAACTTGGCGAGTGAGCGGGAGTCTACACGGAGAGAGACAATAGTGGAGGACTCAGGTGGGTTTCAGATGGGAAATAGTCCTTACACCTTTACCAACGAGGGAATGGCCTTTGAAGAACAAACAGAAAGTCTAGCTTCCGCAAGGGCTCACTCGCACTCTTCAGATCAAAGGCTAAAGGCATTTAAAGCCATAAAAATCCTACAGGACACGGACGCAAAAGACAAAAAGTATATTTGTGTAGAGTGTGGAAAAACGAGTCGTTATAAATCTGCTTATTTGCGGCACAAGCGAACGCACACAGGTGAGAAGCCTTTTAGTTGCACAGATTGTGGGAAATGTTTTCGGAGAAGCTCCCAGCTGGTGACTCACCAGAGAATTCACACTGGTGAGAAGCCCTACACTTGCTTACGTTGTGGCAAGAGTTTCAGTTGCAATTCCACTTTGGTGACTCATCAGAGAACCCACACAGGGGAGAAACCCTACACTTGCTTAGAGTGTGGAAAAGGCTTCATCCACAGCTCCGACTACAATAGACACCACCGAGTACACCGAGGGGAAAAACGCTACACATGCAAAGAGTGTGGTAAAAGCTTCAGCCAAAGCTCTTATCTGGTCATTCACCAACGCATTCACACGGGTGAGAAGCCGTTTGTGTGTAACGAATGTGGGAAGTGCTTTAGCCGCAATTCATCACTGGTAACGCATCAGCGGGTGCACACAGGAGAGCGGCCCTACACATGCGCCGAATGCGGGAAGAGCTTTCGTCAAAGCTCCCATCTCCTCATCCATCAGAGGACCCACACACCAGACAGTCACCTGGCACTGCGCGCTATGATGTGAGACGTTTTCAATGTAACTGGGTCTCTGGTGGCCAACAGGGGGTTATTGGTGCACAGTAGTTGCCCCCCTACCAAAGATAGCAAGTATGTAGGAAACTCCAGCAATGCTCCATCTACCAAGGGCTACATCCATCCCCAGCTAGACCAAGCTAATGGACTTCTTGGTGCTAATGGAGACACGTAGGAAAAACACAGTGACTGCCATTGTATTCCGTGTAGTTGGCTAATGTTTCAGGTCAGCCCTGGCCATCCCACAGCAGTCCCCTAGCCCTCTTCCCTTCTCTAGTCCCTGTCGCACTATCTATTTATACACAATAGCTAGATATTCCATAAGAGCCCTGTCAGTGGTCTGGCTGTTCCCTGCATAGCCCTGATTGCATGCTTCGGTCGCCAATCACGAGCCGCTCGTAGTGTTTGCTATCTTATTATGTTTAGGATTTTGGTTGTTTCATTTAAAATGTGTTAAATGAGAAAATTGATGTGTGTTTCTTCGTCTTGCCGCCTTGCTCTGTTTGTCATCCTGGCCTTTAAGTCAATATTCCCTTACCCTCCTATTAGGATGTAGTAAGACCTGACTTCATTAACACGGCTTAATCTAAATTCAAATGGTTTTAATGGCTCTGGCAGCGGGGTGAGACGTGCTTTGTCACACCAAAATATATTTCCAGTAAACTCTGAGTGATTTCTGCTTCTTGTGTAAAGCAACCCTCTATCCCATACGCTCTGTGCTCATATTATGTGCCCCGTATACACATCAATGAGCATGTATCTTGTGTATATATACATGTTGCACTATTCCAGATGTTCTATAGATCGGTCTATCCCATATACACACTGCGCTAATCCTAACTATCCCGTATACACACTGCTCTAATCCTAACTGTCTCGTATACACACTGCTCTAATCCTAATTGTTTTGTATACACACTGCTCTAATCCTAACTGTCTCGTATACACACTGCTCTAATCCTAATTGTTTTGTATACACACTGCGCTAATCCCAACTGTCCCGTATACACACTGCGCTAATCCTAACTGTCCCGTATGCACACTGCGCTAATCCTAACTGTCCTGTATGCACACTGCGCTAATCCTAACTGTCCTGTATGCACACTGTGCTAATCCTAACTGTCCCGTATGCACACTGTGCTAATCCTAACTGTCCCGTATGCACACTGTGCTAATCCTAACTGTCCCGTATGCACACTGTGCTAATCCTAACTGTCCCTACAGTTGAGGAAATAGCTAAAATGACAATGAAGGGGGAAGTTATCATCATGGGTGACTTTAATCTTCCTGATGTAAATTGGAAAACAAAATTAGCTACTTGTGCCAGGAGCACACATATTCTAAACTCCCTACTAGGATTGTCTCTAAAACAAGTTGTTGAGGAGCCAACTCGTAAAGAGGCCATACTAGATTTAGTGTTAACAAATGGAGATTTGATATCAGATATTACTGTAGGTGAACGTTTAGGATCCAGTGATCATCAGTCAGTGTGGTTTAATATAAGAATAGTGACTGAGTCACACCACACAAAAACAAAAAGTTTTAGAATTTAGAAAAACAGACTTTTCTAAAATTAGAATATGTGTAAAGGAGTCATTATCAGACTGGAGCAATTTAAATGGAGTCCAAGAGAAATGGGATTATTTAAAAGTTGCACTAATGAAGGCAACAGAAAATTGCATTAGGCTTGTCAGTAAAAGCAAAAAATTCAAGAAACCACTGTGGTACTCCGCAGATGTGGCCAAAATAGTTAAAAACAAAAAGTTAGCATTTAGGAATTATAAAAAAACCCAGAGTGAGGAGACAAAATGATCTATAAGATTAGGCAGAAAGAGGCTAAGCAAG